CAAATTAAACACCGAATGAAAAGCCTTATTATTCCACCCTACAATCCTCGCCGCAGCATTATCCTCCAAAGTATCCACCGCAACCTTCGCCACATCCTGCGGCTGATCAACACCCACTTTCTCAATTATCCCTCTCTTCTCACCATGCCCCTGCCCATCTAAATTCGTCTCTGTCACACCAGGAATCACACACGCAACTCTCACTCCCTTATCGATATTCTCTTGTCGGATTGCTTGTGAGAAGGTATGCACGAATGCTTTACTTGCTGCGTAGGCGGCTGTGTAGGGCACAGGCTGGAAGCCGCCTGTTGATCCGATGTTGAGAATTCCGCCGGATTTTCGAGAGACCATGTCCGGGAGGAATTGCAGCATCATGTCTACGATTGCGCGGACCATGAGGTCGACGGTCTTGAGGGAGGTATCCGTCTCCGGATCCTCAGCAAAGACGAATTTCCTTCCAAAACCGGCATTGTTGACAAGTAAATCGACTTTCCAGTTGAATTCTTCCTTGATCTGTTTGTAGATTTTTGCGGGGGCTCCTTGTTCTCCTAAGTTGATGGTGATGATTTTGATCTCAAGGTTTTGGGTGGTGGCTTGGATGGTTTTGGCGGCTTCTTGGAGTTTGTCTTCGGTTTGGGCGACGAGGATTAGACGCCGGACTCCTCGGGTTACGAGTTCTTGGGCGATAGCATAGCCGATTCTCCGCGGAGGAGCCGCCTGTTACGAGCGCGGTTGAGGCTGCGAAGTCGATTTTGGGGAGAGGAACGGAGGGTTCTTCGGATTTTGTGTTGTCTGACATGGTGGCGGTGGTTTAAGTGGTTGTTGTGATAGTTATTTTCTATTAATTGTTGCTGTCGATGTTTTATCTATTGCTCAAGCCCTTTTCATTTCATTTATGTTGATCTCTCCCCATCTCGAATGGTTGTAGGCATCATTGATTCATGTTTTTGACATCACGTTCACTTTGCTTTGCCAAGCGATGGAGTGCAATGTTGCTCCGCTACGGCCGTGAACGCTTTCAGCGCAATATTTCCTCTTCTAGTAGAGGACTTCTCTTGAGCATCGTCATGTATGCATCATAAAGACCTCGTTCTAAGAGAGTGGGATTTTCAGAAAGCTGTCCAGTCCTCATGTCTTCGCTTGGCGTCAATGCACGCTGACGTCCGCTCCCAAACGTGTTCAGTAATCATTCAATGTATTTTCTTTTCTGGAAGCTGTGAACGCACTCGAACCTCTCGATACACTTCTCAAGCCTGGGCAGCTCTCTTCTCTCAATCTGGCATTATGAACTGCCTCTGACAAAAGGTCTTATCGACACGTTCGGATGTGGACGTGTGATTGCGGCAATTCATTCTTCAGACGCTTGCTTACCTGTTCTCTTCGCACCGTCGTGCGGGCTCTGGACTTGAAGCTTCGTGCTGAGAAATGCCACTCCTGTCATCTGCGAGCCCGCTCCTGGGTCGCGGCTACAAGAAAGTAATTCGGAAGCTCGAATGCAAACGCCAGGACATCTCCACATTGTGGCTTCTCGATCAAACCGCACGGCAGAAGCTGGAGAATAAGCAGGCTCTCCTATTGGCACAATCTGTTGCGGCCTCGCTTCACTCACAAATGGATGCTTGCAGGCGTCCTTGAGCCCAAGAAAGTTGACATCTGCGGAAGAGGCTGTAATTTCTTTGGCTGAGCCTAGTGTGCTGGAGTTGACTAAGTACTGTTCTTATGTGCCGCGTACGTTGCAGACTGGCCTTTTCCTCGGAAGAGGTAGCCTGAAGATATCAAATCGTTGAGAGTGATGAATGGCTGGTGGGCCCCAACATCAGATTTTGCTGTCTACTGAATGCCTTGCGGATGCGTGGAACTCTTCCCTCCTGTCAAAGAAATGGCTGGTGTGGATACTGACCTTGTCAAAATTTAGATTGCCCTCAATCTCTGTGGAGTGAACAGGACATAGAAGCAGCGAAGTTCTGCATGCAGGTGGAGTTGATTTTAGCTTGAGGGAGTAACTTTGCTCCGACATGGTGGCGTGCATGTTGCACAGCTTTTGTTATGACTTGGGACTGCTGGTGGAATGGGCGGCATGATGATTATTGAACATTTCCCAGGCCGATACGTGCGAAACTCGACGTGTCTTTTGGGTATGGAAGACTGCCGATCCCCACGTCAACATCTCGGTCTAAACTCTGTCTTGTGAGCCAAGCAAATTCTTGAGAGTTGCCAACGGGCAAGCATGACTTACTTATATCACCTGCACAAACCCAAAGGATCGTTACCGCGCATACACAACTGACGACTATCATCGCCACCGCGAACTCCCCCTTGCTACATGCGGCCTTGTCGCGACTATGGCACTATTGCTAGAATATCTCCAAGGGTCTAGTATCTCGCTGACCGCTCTCGGTATCGTGCTGCTTGGAATCGCACTTCATCGGATCTATGTTGGAGCCACGGGCGAGCTCAGTCATGTTCCTGGCCCGCTGTACTCAGCATACACGAATCTCGTTTTCAAATGGTACAATTTGAAGGGAGTCAGATGGGACTATGTTCACAGTCTTCATCAAAGGTATGGGCCAATCGTTCGAGTGAGTCCCAGCGAGATTTCAGTGGCTACCATCGAAGCCACGAAGGAGGTGTACAAGATGGGAGGCAAATTTCCCAAGACCGACTTTTACCAAAGGCTCAAAGGCGCTCCTCACCTTCCCAATGGCATATTCTTTGAGATCGATCCCAAGGCACACGGCGCCCACAGGCAACGAACTGCTCATCAGTTCTCTGAAAAGTCAATCAAGGGTATGGAATCGTACATCCGTCGTAACACCGACTTGACGGTCCAGCGGATGGCTGAAGACATCGACGCAACGTCACGCACCGATGCCTTCAAGTGGTTCTTCTTCATGGCGACAGACGTCATTGGCGAAGCTTCCTTCGGAGAGTCATTCAAGATGCTCGAGACTGGAAAGAAGAATCAGTACAGCCGAGACTTGGAGTTCATTGGTGAATCCAATCTCTATCGCCTCGAATTGCCCTTTCTCATCAAAATTCTGGCGCCTTTCGGTCTCGCGAAACGTGTTACTCAGATGTCCAAGCGCTTCCACGAGTATGCAAACGAGTCGCTCAATCGCTATTGGACCGCATACCGTGAAGATCCGGACAATGTTAAACCGACATTGCTGACGAAGACCTTTGGAATGGTGGAAGAGGGTATCTTGCCAGAGGACACACTCGAGATTGACGCGCGACTAAACATCATTGCTGGCACCGATACCACAGCCATGACTTCCATCTCAATCGTTTATCATCTTCTACAGAATCAAAGCATGCAGTCACGACTTATCGAAGAGATCGCAATTCTGCCGAAGGATTTTGATGATGAGGACTGCCGGAAGTTGCCGTATCTCGAGCAGGTTATTCAAGAAACCTTGCGGCTGAGTCCGCCTATTGCCATGGGTTTGCCGCGTTGGGTACCTCCAGAAGGCACCGAGCTGTCTGGCTACTTCATTCCTGGCGGCACGGTGATTGGAATCCCAGCATATTCCCTCCACCGGGATCCCAAGATCTTTCCCGAGCCTGAAACGTTTAAGCCGGATAGGTGGGAGCAGCCAACGGCGGAGATGAAAGATGCGTTCGTGGCATTTGGAGGTGGAAGTCGTTACTGCATCGGTATCCACCTGGCGAAGATGGAGTTGCGTCTTGTTATTTGCCAATTCTACAAGAGGTTCCCTCGCGGCGTCGAGCTTGTCCCTGGATTTGATGCAAGTACCAAAATGAAGGTCTTCCAGCACTTCCTAAGTTGCTACAGAGGGAAAAGCTTTTTGATTCAGGAGAAGTCTTGATAATGTCATGAGGAGACGTCCGAGATGAGAGAATACAAACAACCAAAGTTGCGAGAAATACGAAAATGCTGATGTTCCCGGATTTCCATTTTGCTGTCCGCAACTGGGGGGTCTCAAAAGTGGCTGTACACATCTGCGTGATGCACGCGAGTGATGGGAGAAGAGCAAGCAGTGAAGCGTAAGACGACCATGTACGCATTGAATTTTTGAGATGGACACACTTGAGTGCAAGGTGTGATGCGTCTCGTTTCTGGTTGTAAACATGATGGTATATATCTTCATCGTCTTCTCCCGATCCTCATCCCAAACAAGCGCCGTCGAGGCGGGCTTGGTTGTGGTGTTGACGTCTCGCGCAGAGGCATGTCGTATTCGCATATGTCGTCCCATCTGATTTCATCGAGTGGGAGCGCATCAGTAAAGTGGAACTCGTCCGTAAATATCTCGTTTCGTACGATGAAATTGGTCCCGCACCATCCCCATCGTGCGTTCCAGTCTCGCTGTCGGATCTGCTGGGCCACAAGTTCATCGTGCAATTTACGTCGCTCCGCCTCCGATCTGATGTCGGGCTGGAGACGAAGTCGCACAAGCCCGGCACGACTTCTTGCCAACGCGCGCAGCTGATCGGGAATTAATGCCTCCAGCGGAATGAATTCGTGCCAACGCCTTCGCTCCAGGGACGCGCTGGGAAAATCGAAAGTAATGCCATGGAGACGCCATGGATCGCCCTGGTGCCATGCGCATTCAGCAATGTCGTACAACAGGCCAAAAGTGAGCCACGGTGGACGAGATTTCTGCGCGTCCTGTACGTTCCGGTTGCTGAAATTGAGCCACATCAACTTGCCTCTCTCTTCACCAGGCACGCTGACTAGCAATTGGTCTGGCGCTGGAGAACACGGGATCATCCTTCTCCAGCTAGAATTTGGAAATTTCAATATTTTCAGCACTTGTGGGCTCTTGCGGACATACATGTCGTTGAATGGCGAGTGCCTGACCAAAGTTTCGGCGAAGCCGTCCTCGAAGTTACAACTATCGAAAATCGTTGGGAACGTCCTCCGCAAAAGCGGGTTGATTCGTGTCGTATCCACATCAAAGTTGGTGACAGGACTGCCAGGATGCAGCCACATCATCTTCAAGAGTCGCCGATCGTCCGATATTGTCCTCTTCCAGGTCTGGCAGACTCGCTGCACAATCAGGAGCTCTCCTTGTGATAGCTGGCAGAGAACGAGGTATAGCAACGCTGGCTCTTGCAGAACACGCGTGCTCGCTGATGACTCCATTCTTTAGATCCAGCCCAGTTTTCGACGAAGCTCGTATGTCCCTTTTGTCGCTGGCCGTGGCAGCGTGTTTCGCCAAGAGGATCTTGCGATTGAGCACGACTAGATCGTCCTAATGCTCGCGGATCAGATGCAGTGTGGGCGCAGGTCCACTATTTTGTACAACACAGGTGAACATTGATAGCAGTGGCGAGGCCGATGAAGACATGGTGGCTGAGACCGTGATCAGGTTGGATTCAGCATGTTTGATGCTGCGGCTGAGGCGATGCAGCGAACGATGCGGATTTCCAAACTCTCATGGCGTCGATCGTACGGCACAGTAAATTCAACGTGCCGAATATCCGATGTGACACTGTGTACGCAGCGTTGAACATGTCGCATGCCGTTGTGGTCGCGCACGATATTGCTAAGCTCAAGGGTATTGAGCGCTCAGGACAGCCGGTAGGCCATTGTGAAGGGGCGAAATCTGCTACAGGTGAATAAATTCGCTGTGGTACTGCCTGTCATCACACAACTGCGGCTGAATCGTCGGCGGCCTCTTTTCTGAGCTTCTTGACATAGTTCAACGCGCTACCTTCCATTAGCCAAGGTATCTGGCCATCGTGGTAGGTGTGTTCCAGAAGCGTGTTCCAAGTCGAACCATTCGCTGCCTTCACTTGCATGACTAGTTGCTTTCCTGGCTCTATGTTTTCGGTATCCAGAATGGAAATAGTGTCTGCTGTTACAATCCTATCCCAGGCAGATGGATCGCTGAAGGTAAGAGCCAACATGCCTTGCTTCTTCAAATTCGTCTCGTGTATGCGAGCAAAGGACTTTGCAATCACTGCAACACCTCCGAGAAACCGAGGCTCGAGCGCAGCGTGTTCTCGTGAAGAGCCTTCTCCATAATTGTTGTCCCCGATGATGCACCATCGAATGCCTTGTACCTTGTATGACTTTGCAACTTGTGGAATCGCATCGACTGTTTGGTCGAGCTGGTTAATCGCTTGACCTCTAGCATAAGCTAGATCCTTCGGCGTAGGAGACAAAAAGCCGTTTTCGGCGCCTATCAGCAGATTGTTCGAGATGTTCTCCAGATGCCCACGATAGTTATACCAAGGCCCGGCAGGTGAGATATGATCAGTTGTGCATTTGCCCTTTACCTTGACAAGAACTTTCATGCCCAAAGCGTTGCCTGTTTTCCAGGCTGGGAAGGGCTCGAGCAGCTGAAGTCGATCGCTCGTAGGGGAGACAGCCACTTCGATGTTGGCCGTTTCTGCCAAGCTTGCGGGAGCCTGGTAAAGGGCGTCACCAGACGCAAAGGACTTGGGCAATTCCTCGCTCGCAGGTGGTGTGAACCGAAATGGCTCGCCTGTTGCAGACATGATGAAATCCTTGCCCGGAATATGCTCCAAGGAGCCCGAATATGCGAAAGCCGTCACGATCTCTGGAGAAGTGACAAAAGAATGTGTTGCCGGGTTGCCATCGTGCCTCCCAGTGAAGTTACGATTGTAGGACGAGATGACCGAGTTGGGCTCGTGCTTAGATGCACCTTCACGGTTCCATTGGCCAACACACGGTCCGCACGAGCTGCTCAGAATGCTAGCGCCTGCGGCTTCAAGTTCAGTCAAGATGCCTTCTGCTTCAAGTGTTGCTCGGATCTTCTCGCTTCCAGCTGTGACGAGGAGTGGCACTTTCGGCTTTAGACCAGCGTTGCTAGCCTCTCTGACCATGTTGACCACTTTCTTCAAGTCTTCGTAAGAGGAGTTGGTGCAGCTGCCGACCATAGCTTGGGACACATTTCTTGGCCAACTGCTTTTTTGTACATCGCCGGCAAAGCGAGATAGCGGATGGGCCAGATCCGGTGTGAATGGTCCGTTGATATGTGGTTCGAGTGTGTCGAGATCGATCTCAAGCACTTCATCGTAATGCTTATCGCTACCTTCGTCTGCCGTGATCAGGTTGTAGTTGTTCAGAGCAGCATCGGCAATGAAGCCGCGGTCAGTAGCGTGTAAATATCGACCCATAGACTCTGCCCATGGAAATATGCACGAGGTGCTGCCAATCTCTGCTGACATGTTGCAAACTGTTGCCATTGCGGTGGCACTCATAGTCTGCGTGCCAGGTCCGAAGAACTCGATAATCTTGCCCTTTCCTCCAGATACAGTGAGCATACCAGCAAGCTTTAGAATGATGTCCTTTGAGCTACTCCAGCCGCTGAGCTTTCCAGTCAAGCGAACTCCAACCACTTTCGGGCAAGGCAGTTCCCATGGGATACCTGCCATCGCGTCCACAGCGTCGGAGCCGCCAACACCAATTCCGAGCATGCCCATACCACCGGCGTTGGGTGTGTGAGAATCGGTCCCAATAATCAGTCCGCCTGGAAAAGCATAGTTTTCGAAAATTGTGATATGGATAATGCCAGATCCAGCTTGCCAGTATCCGATATCGTACTTCTTACACGCTAAGCTCAGGAAGTTGTAGACCTCAGAGTGCTGCTGCCTCGCGTTCTCCAGATCGATATTCCCGCCATGTTCTGTCACGATCAAGTGATCGCTGTGAACCGTGGTCGGAACTGCCGTCTTTGGTAGGCCAGCGCTAATAAATTGTAGGAGAGCCATTGTCGCTGTTGCATCGTGACATGCTGCCCTATCTGGCCTCAGTTTGAGAAACGATTTCCCAGGTCTGATGTCCTGCGATTCCGGCTCGCACAAATGGGTAAACATGATCTTCTCGCTGAGCGTCAGTGACCTCTGTATCCGTCTCAGAACGGCTATCAGATTGTGCTGCAGCTGCTTGTATGGGAGGGATCGCTTTGTCACGTCAGCAAAGTGATCTGTCCAGGGTGTGCAGTGAGCCTAATGCCACCTTCTCTAGGTTCGAGAGCGGCACGTCTGGCTGACCAGTGCTTCCTGCCAGCGTTGCCAGCTGTCGACGACATCTTGCAGTCTGTCCTGAGCGTGAGGATGCGGTCTGCCTGCTGAGGCCCCTAGCTCTGGAGCGGCAATACATCTCTGTCAAGCCCTTCCTCGCAAGGCGGCGAGGGAATGTCTGTGAGGGAGAACATCTGAGAGACGCGCTTGAAGCCCCAAAGGGCGTCCATTTCCGACTTCGCACGCATCTTCGTGGCGACGGATGCAAAAGCGGTCATCTCTGCCGCGTCAATCTCGCGCTGAACGCGATGCGACGGAGCAGTCCGGCATTGACCGTGGAGGAGAAGAACGAGAGACGGAGTCCTCCGCTTCTCCACTTCCGCCGCCAAGCAATGTCTCCACTCTTCAACTTGGTTTGCGCGGTCCAGTGCTGTCAACGCGGACACAACAATTTCGTGGTATGGTGATACACAATTTAAAGACAGCTCTGTTCAAAAGCATGTGCACCGAGGCCGTAGAGCTGCGCGAGCCGACCTCGGCGATGAAGCTCGACATTCGGAAGCGTACGCTATGCTTCCTATGGACCACCTAATGCCCGCACTCTAGCCCAGGTAAATCGTGACGCTGCGATACATGATCATACGGATCGCTCCAGAACATATAAATAATCTGTGGTGCCACATGAGCATCGGCCTCTCGTTTGATCAGGATCAGCAGGCTGAGTCAGTCGCGATTTCAAATGACCATTTCTTACAGTCGCATCAGTAGTCAGCACAGTTGTTGAACAATCCAGTTCCATGACGACGCAGACTCGTCAGCCACATTCTTTAGCAGAACTCGCGAGGGCCTCTATAATCATCTCCTCATCGAGAATATGTCTCCAGAGCCAACAATTATTGATACACATCACCACATCTTCGAACGTGTGGCATGTCTTGACACAACCACACGGAACGCACTGCTGATAGACTGTAGCTGAAAACTTCCCGTATTCGCTCTGCCATCACCTGACGCCGCCTTGAGCATCGATTGCAGAGTATGAAAGCTTCAAGAAAGACCATGGCATCGGAAAATCAGTACTTGTCCACGCGCTCTCCTACGGCCACGACTGCTCCTCCCTGCAGTCTTTCATCGAAGATCTAAGCCCAGAAGTCACTCGTGGCGTCGCCGTGATTACTCGAGACACCAATGATGACGAGATCAATGAGCTGCATCAATGTGGCGTACGAGGCATCCGACTAGACCTGTACTCCGAGAATGCCATGCGTGATCTCGCGAAGCAGAAAGAAATGCTAGTGTGGTATGCCGAGAGGATTCGGCCTTGGAAATGGAGTATAGACTTCTTGCAGCTGGAATCCGAGGATTGGAAGCCGTTGGCGGGACTCATACCAAGCTTGCCCGTGCATGTAGTAGTTGACCACCATGCTCTGCTCCAGGGAAAAAGTCTGTCTGCAGAAGTATAGTCGCTACCTGCATTTGCGGCGATCACCAGGGCGTTGCAAGCCGGCAATCTCTGGGTCAAGCTGAGCGCGCCGTATCGATGCTCTAATGATATTCCGGATTATGCTGACATGGAAGAAGTCGTTCGAGTCCTGGTGGATGCCAATCCTCGAAGGATCTTGTGGGGTTCAGATTGGCCGCACACACAAAGGATGAAGGTGAGATCGCCAGAAGAGGCCTTGCAACTGACTCCATTTCTGGAAGTGGACGATGGTGCTTGGTTACGCAGCCTGAGGAGCTGGGTCACAGATCAGGAATGGCGAGCGATCATGGTCGAGAATCCAACAACGTTGTACGACTTCTGATGTTGAGACTAATACGTCGCTATGGTGTAAATGTTTTGGTGGCATGGCCACCTTGGTCACCATGTGTTGGGCATTATCCACGTAGGATTCATGGGGTCAACTGGAGAGGCATCCAGCACATCAAGCATGTCTGTAAGCTGATATTCGTGCTGTAAAAATGACTGCAGAGCAATTTCGATATCTGCCCATTGGTTTGAGTCCGTGGCAAGGCCGTGCTGGTCATGTATAGGAATGCTAGCTCCATGAGTCGCTGAGGGTGCGATCGGATGCTGGTTGATACCGCAGGGCCCAGCAAGAAATTCGATGGTGGAGTCTGCGAGGTTTCCAAAGCTTCGGCGCCCGCGCTGCGCGAGGGGCCACCACTCTGCCCTGCGATGTGTTAAGTCGTGATTTCCACTCGAACAGCGTGAGCGATACAGCTGGTACATCAGAACTTACCCTAATGTCAGTAAGCTTGAGCAGAGTCGTAGGTCAGCAGCCAGCTCAGCGACCACTATAGTAGACCTTATTTCCGCGGAACTCCATATACAGTATACGAGTGTAGCTCCGGCCAAGAAGATGCCGTGAGTTCGTGGCCATGAAAGCGCGAGATTGTTCTGATCGTGGAGGTCCCAGTAGAGTCGCAATCTCTCGCTGGCGCTGCGGAGGCATCGTTGCAGCGCTTGCATACTTGGTGTACGGCTGACTCGTGATGGCTGATAGAGCAAACCAATCGCAAAGTGATAGTCAATCTTGATCTCGGTACGAAAGCGGCGAAGAGTATTCTTCGGCAAGTCTTCGACGGCAGCGTTAGTCTCCTGGAGCCACTGGTCAAGCCGGGAGTTCAGATCTGCATGCAGTTCAGCGGCAGTGCTGGAAGGTACATCGTGCGGGATGAAGGAGTACAGCTGTTGCTTGATAGCAGAAATAATAGCTGCCCATTGGAAGTGACTAATACTGTAGAACAGAAAAGCCTGATCCTGCTGAACATGCGCTCTACCATCATGTATGATTTGAGGCGCGGCAAGATCCAGCGTGTTGTCCGAAAAGCCCAGTGGTCGTCCCTGGGCGGTACTTACGTATCTGTCCAGGGCGTAAAGGCTGAAGAAGACTCGGCGACGCATTTGCGAAGCCGTCTCCGTGGTCCGTCCTGAGGCTGTGACGTTTCGGTGCAAGCCAAGATCGATCGCATGGGCCAGTGCGATGTGTAGAACGACCCAAATGTTGCCGCTCTCAGCTGTCAAGAAGCTATGTAGTACGTAAAGTACCATTGATTGGACGGCTGCCAAAGAGACCTCCGCAATGGCGAGCTGAAACAATGCGAGCGCCTGTGCATGAAATCTGCTGGGGTCTGCGCTGAATATTCGTTTCCTGGTTTGGAGATCTGCTGCAATACTCAAGACAAAGAAAATCTGTGTAGCCGCTGTACGAATGGGTATCGCAATCGTGTCTCGTCCGTCATGACGCCCAACAACGCCGTTGTAGGAGAAGACGCGAACGCTATCAGGCCAGCCGTTGTGCTGAAGAGCACAAGACGGAGAAGCTTCCGCAGCAGCATAAAGTGCATCGACCAGGGCAGCAAAGCTAGGCTGATGCAGCACAGGATATTCTGCATGATAGTAGTCGTAGAAGAGCTTGATCATCCGACCACAATCTGTCCTGGACGGCAAACTCTGCTTCAGCAGCGAGAATAGCGTATGAGAACTGCCACGAGGCGAGATCGGTCGGTGTGGTACGTTCTCGGCATCAGATTCTGGCTCTGAACTGCCGTCTTGATGTTCAACATGCTGGTCCTCCGGCAGCAGGCTTGCGAAGAAGGAGCCAGAGGATGATCCTAGGTAGTGAGTTTGCGACAAATTCGTGTTCAAGGAGAAGAGTCCCAGGTCTAGTGCCATACGCCGAGCCTTGCGAAAGACGGCAGAAAGATCCTCGCTACCGTTAGCAGTCGAGGAACGTCTTCTCTTGCTTCCAGTAGTGGGAGTTTCTTGAACATTGCTTGCCTCTCCCTCAGGCCTCTTGGGACCAGCCTCAAGATCGATGCCAGGTATGTGAGTCTTTACGAGATCTTCAAGCCACGCAAGCCTGGCTTGTGCATCTGTCAAGAAAGATCTCGCGATCGTGTTACCACTTCTCCTCGCGTCGACGTCAATACAGGGTACTGTGTTCAGTCAACATCCACACAAGGCTTCCACATTGGAAGCGGACATACCGCCAGCCTTGGCGCATTTTGAGCAGCTCGGAACTTCTCCGTCACATTTAATCCTGCGATCTCGACATCGTTGGCAGGCCAGGCGGACTTTCTTCTGGCGGTGTGGCTCCGGTGTCTGACTACCTGTCTCGCCGGAACGCGACTCATTCATTGCGGCTGTCCCCTTTCTCTAGACCCTGCGCGACAACGAGAGGCATCGTGTGTGGAGACGCAGGACTGCTCCGTGAAGTGAAGTTGGAAAGAGCCTGACTTGCCAAGAATTTTCGCCGCGTTGTGCCGCTTGCCCTCGTTTCAACATGCCCACGAAGCAGTAAGATGTGGTGGACCACAAGGTGGAACCGCGAAGGTCACGGTGCCATGCGGCCTCACAGGTTCGACAGAGTAGAGAGAAGAAGGCATTTTGGTCAAGACTGTGCGTGCTCCAAACAACCAGGTTGAATGATCGTCAATTCGTAGTGTGAGACCCCTGGCATCGAATCGAAGACAGCATCTTCTTTCTTGAGACTGGTTGTCTTCGAGTGATGATGAGATGCACTCTCGCTGCCATTACTCAGTTGCACTGCACAGTTGTACAGCTGTTGTTGCCTCAGTCGAGAAAGGAGTGCCTGAAATCACAGTCACAGTCACAGAGTCGCACTGCTGCCTGGCCAATCAGGGCGGTTTGGAAGCCGGCCAATCGGCAGCCGCCAAGCATTGATCCTACCGCTAGCGCGAACAGCATAAAAGCCTTCAACTCTCCTTCCCACTTCCTCTTCTTTTTTCTTTAGCTCTCTTTGCCTTTTGGCTTAGATCAAGTGTAGTAAGTCGCGCGCGGCAAAATCCCTTGATCTCGACTGCTTGCTGACCACTCTTAGGTATCTGTTCTTTTCAGTTTAATCTCTGAAACGTCACTACGGTGACATTCAAGATTATTCTTATTTTTTGAACCAGTCAC